GACTGTCATCCGCGTAGGTTCCGGGGAGACCGCAAAGCTTCCCTCGAACCTTTTCAAAAAATAAAGACATGTCTCCGGCAGTTTTGTTCATGCCTAAATGTTCTTGCACGTGCTTGGCCATTGTCAAGTTCCAATAATCCCCAGAATCTGCAAGTCCATATAATGGCTTTAGAAGCTTCAGAAGCTGGTGACTGCGGAGTTCGAATTCCTTACTCGGCTTTAGGTAAACTTCTCGCAATAACTGACTTGCCGACTGTAAGTAAGCCTGCGTTATATCATGTGTCCATACACGCAAACCAAAAATTGCTGCCAATGCAATCAATAGTCTTGTTGAGCTTTGACGAACCGTGGTGGAATTGTGAACGAGTTGTGTCTTCTCCTTGTCCCTGTGCCCTTGCACTACGAAGCGGGCTTTGTAGATCGGTGTGTCTGTTTCCACGTTCTTGATGGTCACAACAAAGCGCCCATTCAACACGTTCGCCCCTGCTGGGATATCTTCTTTCATCACCACTTTCCACGTACCACGTCGTATCAATCCCTCAATTTCCTTTTTTTGCACGCTCTGATTCCTTGTTATGCACACGAGGATCGGGGGGGTGCAAGATATCTTGTATGAAAATATCGAGTGGATCATTTGTGTAAGACCTCTTTTTCGTAGATTTAAACTGCTGAAGGGAGGAGTGCAGCGCATTAACGAAGCGCATATCGCTTGAAATATCATCGAAGGAGGCGTCGGGGATTACCTGATGAATGCTGTGCTGTACTTCTTTGCCTTTCATAAGTATGAAGATCTGCTTTCCGTCGATCCGCAATATAGAAAACGGTCCGATGTAGCGCTTGTCCGATTCACGATATACCCATACCTTTTGTCCTGGTTCTAATACATATTGGGCTGCTCTCGGAGCACGGGATCTGAAAGCCTTCTGTACGCGTAGTTCTGCCGCGATTGCGGCCATTTCCGCCCGAGCACAGCGCAAAGCCTTCATCCTTTCACGTTGGTTAGGTCTTGTTGTGTTGATCGGAGGGAATCGAGGCTGTACTCCAAAAACAAGGAGGGCAGGTGTTAGCCCTTCTGGTCCAGCCGTGCAGTTCATGGAGTTGACTGAGAGCCTGAGCGCGAACTCGTCTTTTACTGTCGGGTGGTCAAACTTGATTTTCCGAAAAATTCGTCGTAGTGGGTCATGATACCGTTCTCCCGGCCCCAGGGAGTTATGACTCTCAACGCCCGAAAATTGGAGGTGAATGCCCACTGTTTCTGACAGCTGCTTTCACTTAGGTGACGTAAAGGCGCTTCCTTGGTCGAGGCGCATTTTAGAAGGGAACCCGGCATAAATCGAAGCCCAACAGTTTATGAAGGACCGCCATACGTCCTCGACTGATTGCCCGGTCAATATTTCTGCATTGCTGAAATGAGTTTGTGTGTCCACGACGTGAAGAACTGCTTTCCCATTCAACCACATTAGATCGAGGGCTATTTCTTCGTTAAAGACAATTTCGGAAGGAGGCATTGAAACGACGAAGCGACGTGGTTTTGTCGAAAATATACGACAAGTTCTGCAGGCCTCTGATATCTCCTCTAATGTTTTTCGAAGAGAGCTGCTCGCAGTTTCAGGTCGCGCTCTCTTGATTAAATTGTAAAGCTTCCGGGCGTGTGGATGATAGAACTGCAGATGTAACTTTGTTAGCTCTGCTTTCGTGAAAAAACATTCACTCAAATTCCATGTCAGATAAAGGTGACCATGCTTCCTGTTGATCGGCAAAGTCCAATTACGGCGAGGGCATTCCAGTTTGTTGGTCAGGTTGTTAACAACAAGTCCCTCGTCGTCTAAGACATCCAACCCAATGAGCATGGGAACGTCTGTATCTACCACATCCAGCAATATCTCAATATAGGATCCATTCGGTGTTGGAATGCGGACTTTCATACAGCCACGCGACCTGTGGAAACCATCACCAAATTTATATGTGGTGTCTGAAGGTAACAGTTTGAATTTCGAATTTGTGAAGGAACACATCAGCTTGGCTTGACGTTTCCCGATTACGGATCGCTGTGCTCCTGTGTCTAGGACTGCCCCTCAGAATTTGGTATTCGAGAAGATTAGTTTCGAGCTTTGAGCATTGACCGATATCACTTCCTTTTCGTCAAAAAATATATGACGGCAGCCTTTGTTTTCGCAACGTTGACCGGCTATTTCTCTGCTGCGCAGAATCCTTTCGGGCTTCTTGTCTGTTGCTTTCTTTCGCCTAATATAAGGGCAGTCTTGGCGAGTAACTGTCCCTTCTAAAAATCCATAGGCATATCTGATGAATCCCCGCCCTCGACATTTGATTCAATGTCCCAGCAGATGTTTTGATAAAGGGCCTTTGCCGGACTTTCATCTGTGTCTGAGTCGCTTGGTTCCCTGCAGTTCTAATCCGATACTCCGAACATAACTAGTGCATCTTCGTCAGAAGAAGAATCTCGCATTGTACCCGTTTCCAAAATTCCAAGCTCCTTCATGCCCTGTACCATCTCAAAGAGGACTCGCTTATATTCATTTCTCTTTCTGCCCTTTGCCTTTTTTTTACTGTCGAAATATGCCACCTTTCTTGATGCAATCCTGACTGGATCGAGTGGCACGCGGCAACTTGCGTGTGTATGTCCAGGCTCCGCACAGTTCCAACAAGTCATTTTGTTTGCACCTGGGAAAAGCTGAGTAGATATACTTGGACCGTATCGGGGTTGCGTGAAATGGATAGAAGGCTTCGATTCATTTCGAATTATGTGATTTTCGTTCTTATCACAATCGAGGATGTTGGACTCCAACTCAGCCATCTTCGCTTGTACACTTCGTGAAAGCTCGATATAAAAATCTTGGAATCGAGTGTTTTCATTGATGCGGGCGATACAAGGTGTGGCCCATGAATAGCCCTGAACCGCCGTTTGAAGGTATTCCACCTTATTGCATTCTGTGCGGAACGAGCGAGGTGTTTGCTTATGCCTCGTACTGATGTGTGCTGCTAATTTCGTTAGTGCTTTGTGCATGTCCGGTTCATCGTTCGTAAATTCAGAGAGTCGCACAGATCTGAGCTTATTTCTAACATGCATCTGTCGGGCGTGTGAGTTAAAGTACAGATCAATCATTTTGCAAGCTTCCCGAAAAGTATTGCAGGCATTCTTGATGTATGAGTTGTAGTATTCCAGCGCATCTGCTTTAAAAATGTTATGCATGTGTGAGAGCATTTGACGATCGGTCAGACCTTGGTCGGCAGAAGCGTCTCGTATGCATCTTGGTACTCTTCCCAGCATTCATCATAGGTTCCTCCATATTTAGAGCGAGAGTCTTTGAAGCGTTGGGAAATGTAATGGACCTTACTACTGATCTGAGCCATTGATTGGGAACCGAAGTTATTGTTGTTGGGTAGTGTATTTGCGAGCTGTTGACGGGCAAGACGTTCTTCCCTCAATTCAACACACATTTTGCTAAGCACATTTAAGATCATTTTGTTTTCTGACTGTTGAGTTGGTTCTTGCGCATCTTCGCCACTTTTATCCTTGAGTACGTTGATCGATTTGTTTCTCTCATTTGGATCCGGAATGTACTGCATCTCATCAGGTTGTGGGGGTCCATCCATGTTTCTTTCTGCGTCACTGTCGGCTTCTTTTCGCACATTGCCAAAGTCTGCGATGATTTTCATACATTCACTTAAACTTTCTTCATGTTAAGGGAGGGATACACCAAATGAGCCAAACGTTGAACAATGAGTCGCCCCTGGCGAGGAACGTCTAGTCCGCGATCACGGAGTACTTCCCGCAGTCTTTGGTAGATTCGATAAGTCGAAAGAACATTATGAGAGAATAGAGTTGCAGGCGTAAACTGCTCCCGGATGTTTTCTAGTAGTCGTTCATTTGTTTCGGGAGAAGGGTTCCCTGCGTTCTCGATGATTTTTCCCACCTTGTCGATGAACTCGGATTGTTCGGTTTCGTATTTTGGTTCTAACTCCAACCGGTCAAAAGAAGACGTCATAATGAATTAGAAAGAGTTTAACCAAATATTTCTGTACGCCAATGTAGCGTTATTCGCGAATGTTGTTACACAGACGTAACAATTAAATGGGAGGTCTGCAAACGGCAGTCCTCTTCCGTCTGACCTGCTTACGGCACGTCAGTGATCTCCGCTTGCGAACTGCAAGTGGATTTTGCCGATCGCGGACGCGCGATGCGGCGGAAAGTGAGAAACGCCCACTTGGTTGAGCAGTACCTGCTCGAAGGCAAACGCAACGGCGTTTGGTGAATGAACAATGTTTAGTCGTAAGATGAGTATTCGATCGATTGTTACTTTCTACATTCTGTCCGTTGCTGAATGGTAATTTATACTACTGCCCGCATACGCGCGCGAGGCCACTGCGGTTTACCTCCCGCAGCGGAGACTCGGCCAAATTATCTGAGTCTCTGTTGCGTCTCCCGGTTGACATATGACTCCTTAGATTATTCCAGAAACTCTACTGCTGATTTCTTGGCGAAGCGGAACTTTGCTTCGTTCTGAGAAAGTCTCCTTGCAACAACAGAGCGGGCGCCCACGCCGCCTCCTCGCCTCAAACGTGATCTAGTGCGCGACCGCAACGTGTGCTGAAGAGCGTGCTATCTCTGGGCAGCTGGCAGCGCGCGGAGCCTCTCCGCTGCGTACCGCGCGGCAGTTTCGCCGGGCAAAGAAGCCCCCACGCGCCTCGTCACGGGTGTGTTACCAACAAGCGCCGGATCTTGCGCATCTGTTGTCCGCCGCACCGTGTAACCCCGCCCCTCCGCTGGGTCTGTGCCACAGGCAAAGAAGCGCACACCAGGATTGCCGTCCCCGACCGTGCCCAATTGCAACACACGCGCCCCATTTTGTAACAGACAATCCCGCCTCTCGCGCACACTATGTCCGACACTCCGCCACCATGATGCAGCTGCGCTGCGGCCCTGGACACGCTCAGCCGCCGCACTGGAGGACGCCCCACTGGAAGGCGCCGAAGCTGCATTAGCCAAGGCGCCCGCCTGTGTACACCCCGTGCACGTCTTCCCACCGCCGTAATGGCAACCTGAAGGTCTTGACGCAATAACAATGAGCCATGGAGCGTCGTCCCCACGCTCGGCTGTGAGGTTGCCATTGAATCTCGTGCGCCGGCTTACCCGCTTCTAGATGCAGCATGCACCGAGGTGCAGCTCTTTTGCGACATCGCGTTGCCAAGCTGCACGCCTTCTTCGCGGCGGTCGCGACCATTTTGATACACTTCGTTTCCACACTCGTCACTGCGCAGAGTACCGTAATTGGCGATGAATTCCAAGCACTCAGCAGCTTTCCAATGCGCCCTATACTTACAGTTCCTCGGAACATCTGGAAATACGGAAGCTGATTTTCCGTTCTTTATGGAGTCCATTTCTTTATCGATCATCCTCCATTGAGTTGATGACAAAACAAATTTGTCTTTGCCGTCAAGGATGTCGGATGCAAGATGGATAAATTCCTTTGAAAATTGAAATAAGATCATAGCAGATGTTCATGAATTTGTGCATGACATCAGGTGGGAACGATATGTCCGGTATAATTGAATGAATTGTGAGCGGCACAGTCCTTTTTTGAGCACAGAATCACAAGATAGTCTCTCCTTTTCGTTCGTTGACAACGGAGAATCATCGTCAAGATCAAGCAGAACAATCTCAATCTCGTCTTCGGTTCGCATAGGGGGATCACTGGGATCGTAAATATCCCTTAACTTGGTGGGTTCATCGCATGAAGATGTTTGAAGACCTTCTGAGCGTTTGCAGAGCTTGCAATCACCTCGCAGCGAGTTGGAAAGTAGACATGTGAGTGGAACGGAGACCAAACACCCCGGATTGCACAGTACCGACAGGGTATCTTGCTGTTGTGGCCTCTCAGACCTGCCATTTTAGTTACAGCAGGCTCGTCTCCAGTGCAGAAAATGACGTGCCCTCGAACTGGTCTCTCTATGCCGTCGAAGAATCGCATCATTGGACCACCGCTATCGTTTATGCGATCGACTTCCCCTTTCAGAGGTGTGAACTAAGTATGTATCTGTTTTGGTTCTGACGGACCTTGAACAAAACCCAGCGGTATTGTGTTCTTCATGATGAATTGCTTACCGGGAGGTTGATTCTGATTCAGTGCTACAATCGGCCAACAGCTGTACTGTCTCTTTTGATAAGGCGCCGAACCGTCACAACTCGGAGCAATGAATGCATCGTATTTCGGAGCCTCGATTCCCCCGTTCTTCTGAAGAATTCTCGTAAAACGAGAGCCGTCAAAAACATCTTCGTAGTATAGACCATTTTTCCAGTTCCCCTACGAACAACAGATTCATTTGACTGAGTTTGATAATATTCAAACAATGTTCTGCAACTCTTTTCTTCAGCAACCCAGGCACGCAGTCTCGGCTCTAGAGGAAGATATTGGAAAGTAATTAAATCCTGTTCTCTGGATGACATGCAGATCTCAAAACGCAACCCGCTGGCCACCATGCCCTCGCACTGTAGGATATTTGATTCTTTCTCTAGCAGGCTGTGACCACGGCATAAAATGTACCGAATGGGGTAGAACTGCGTGTACTTTTCGAGGTTATGTCGTATTTGCATTGCCTTAAAGGGTGCTCTGAGGAGCCGAACCGGAGACCGATGACTCCTCGTTTGCTCTTCGTAGCTCGTGGGTTAAGTCTGTCCTGTGCGGGACAGGCTGTCCTGTGCGGTCAGACACAGAGACGGCAACCACGGCTGCGGGGGCGGATGCGGAGGGGACGGGGGAGGCATCGGGGGCGGAGGGCACAAGGGCGTAGGTAGCGGAGGCAAGGCAGCGGGATGGGTGGAGCTGGGAGGGCCCGCTGCGCGACAAGTACGGGGCATGCGGTGGCCAAATGGGCGTCCGGGAGGGTGACGGCGGGCAGGGTGGAGGACAGCCACAAAAAGAGATAAAGCGTCATTTCGCCCTACTGTTTGATCATATTTTCGGCAGTCGGCCTCCCAATACTGAAGAAATCGTGAAATCGCCTCTATATGTGTTAAGAAGAAAGTACCTTGTGGCCCCCCCTACTGGCGGCAACATTTAGCCAAAGATAAAAGGAATCCATGCTTGTTATCAAGTCTTGAGAATCACTGTACAGGATGACTAACGCGCCTCTGTGGGCAGCAGCAAAGTTGCTGAACCCATTAAATTCAGCCATGCCCTGGATTCGTCCTGTGATTTACGGTAGGCCTTTTTTGGCAATACGAGATCAGATCGCAAAAAATTAGTAAAGCAATAAGGCATTGCTTTACTAACTTTTTGTGAACTCATGATTCATGAAGGAATGCCTCATTCCTTCAGTTCGCAAAAAATTAGTAAAGCAATGAGGCATTCCTTCATGAATCACGTGTCACTCGCACCTTGAAGGACGCCTCCTTCTCCCACTGTGTTACTGTACAACGTAGGCCTGATCCATGGGCATTTATGTCCATACTATTTATAGTCTCATGATTAGCCAACAAGGGAGCTCTCAGGCCCGTGAAGGTAAAAAGGTTTTCCAACGAGAGGCGCATCAGTGCCACTCATATCACAGAAACGTGAGGTAGAAAAAAACGACCGTCAAACATGCACATGACACCGCTGCCTCAAAAGGGCTTGTAAAGCCATGCCAGTACAATATGCGCACGAAAATGACACAAATGAGATAGCAGAAAAGGCTGTACTGTACAAATGTCTTGCAAGTCCAAATTGTTTCCTGGTACCATCACCACTACCGTGTATGGCAAATCAACAGAACTGGGTCTCCGTTGCTGTACGGTACAATTTACCCATGCATTTTTCGACGACTGGATCTATGTGTATTTTTATGCGTACTGAACAAACGCAGGAAGGTGACCCCATTCAAAAGTGCTAGCCTAGCCAAGCAATAACGAGCACTGTCGAGGAAACCGGAAAAGAAGAATTCTTTCACAACGCCACTTCTCCAAGGGTCTTGGACACGACGCCTACATTGCATAACCAGAACAGGGGCGCATTTATCGTGTATCGGTGTTCATATTCAAAAACCAAACTACGTTGACAAGCCTTCCCCCTTCCCTCTACATCATGTCCCTGGAATTCGTACTGCCCTTTAGCACCCCAATTTGGAACGTGATCCGACTCATTGGTTTGGCTATCCTTGTCGATGTGCTCATTGCTGTGGTGCTACAAAAAGCTTCATCAAGGATTAATGGCTTCATGGCACGAAAAGGAAGACGGGTGGCATTGGGCACGGCACGGACGGGTAGGCTGGCCCAACTACCCGGAATAGACCGAAACGCGACATGGATACGTCTATGCTTCTGGGGGGCAGCAGTGACCCTGTTTGGCCTAGCCATTATGGCAGAATTCGGTAGCGTCGAAAAAAATGTAGAACTGGACACTGAAGTCGAGCTGGGAAGCATATTCGAGGCTGCAAAGGGGAAAGTTCTATCTGTGAATTTACACGCCGAAGACGAAGATCCGAATAAAGGTGGTGGTATTAGACTGCTTGGCAAAGTGTTTGAGGTGACGGGCTCGTCACTGAGAAGTCCGTCTATAGATCACGAAGCCCCACTCATCGAGTCAGGACTCAAAAATTGTCGGCCAGGTGAAGAACGTGTCATTGGCGATTTCTCGACAATGAGCTTTGTAGACCGCGTGCGTGTTTATGCCACGGAAACGGGAATACATTTCAGGAGGAAAACGAATTCAGAAACTTCTGTGATTCAACTAGTACTCGCCGCAGTACCCTTTAACTGGTCTAACTGTGACGAGGAGGAAATCAAACGACAATTAGAGCAATTGGAAAACCACACCGAGGTCCACAAATTCATTTCTGTCCTTTCTGATATGGCACTTGGAGCAGGATGGAACTCTGCAGTAGGACTAAACATGACGAGAGAGAAAAGAATAGAGGAAATTCCCGTACGAGTTGGGAGCGAGTTTAATGGTGGCTTGCACCCGGGTAGTTTCGTTCTTCGGGGTTGGGCAGATATTCAACACTTGATCTTTCGTTCGCTTGCTGGTTCCGAAATTGTTCGGGTGGACATAGAACCAGACCTCCTATACCAAGCTCCTCAGGGAGCTGAACTGCAGATGGAGCAGTTGCCGGTTCGGCAGAGCAGAGTAGAAAACACGAAGATCGAATTTGGTTTGCCTCATGAAAAATTGCAGTTCAAGAACGTGGAATGGCATGGTAGCGTATCAGTCACTGCCGGATCCATTTCTGAACTCGTGCATGTGTACATTACTGATCAGGGAGAATGCGCCATGGGTCACGTCGTGTGTTCGTGTCGGCTGACTTTTGAGAACGAAACATATCAAATCATCCAAGGGTGGGCATCCGATGTTCAAGAAACTGAATTTCGTATGGGTGGGAGGGTAAACTTGACACGATTTGCTCGCGAATTTTTGGAAGAAGCAAAAGACACGATGGTCTACATGTCTCTCTACAAGACTTTGCCGGTTAGGAGCCTACGAGTCACTGGATCGAGGCCTCAAATTTTCTCATCGAATGCTGCTGAGGAAGCATCAAGTGTCAAGAGTTTCCCAGTGCTCCCCCTAGACAGAAGCTTGTCTCCGAAGATCGGGATGGGATATGAGGTGCGGAAGACAGCACGGGCGGCGATAAATGTGTGGTTCATTGCCTCTGCCGCCGGATACGCCATGCTTTTGATGTGTTTTCTTTTAGTTTGCCTCTTTCTTAGAAACGAACTAGACATCGACGTCGTCACTTCGTTGGTGCGCACACAGAACGAGCTCCTCCAAGCGCCCATAGATTGCAAGTTGGCAAGCCGACGCCCTCTGGATATCGGAATATTTCAGCCAGAATGGTCGAACGGGGAACTCCACCTAGGAACACTTGGGGAAAATGACAAGCCTGTCCAAGCACCTGACTTAAGCTTGGTTCACTCGATGCCACGCTTAAGGAGGGGGCAATCAAAGTCTGTTTATACGGTCTAGCTAGTTTCGCCATCCTCATCTCAATGCGTCTTGTAAATCTATGTGAATGGTCCACATGGTGTGGTACGTATGGCGATTCCCCTTGCATCGATGATACGAAAACGTGCCCCATGGCAGCACAAGCGCAACAACGGCTGGCCATTCCGCACCGCATTAGATCACGGTTCAACTTTTGTGTTTTGGACAACACCAAACTTGAACAACTGACTATTACTTGATGAGAGCGGGGAAGGCGCTACTGCAGTTAACAGTGTTACGGTGATACCGTAACTGAACAAACCTGTTGGAAAATTGAACTTGAGGCTCTTTGTATCGCCCAAGGTCGCTACACGAATTGGCCATTAGCACAAAACCCGTGCTGGCCATTCGGAAGCATTGCTGAAGGCATGGTTGTTTCA